TCAAGGTTTCCATTGTTTGATTTTCCCGGGCCTACCCACGCTCCTTTGGCGTTTTCCTGGGATCGGGATGGATGTCCTTGCATCCGATATAAATCGCATTAATCACATGGTATCCAAACAATAGGACAGCAAGGTGTGATCACAGTTTTGACAGCGACAATGACAAGAGATTTTTATTGGTTACCCCCAAGAACAACCTGTCCTGTCCCCTTTCCATACTCGCCCCTGATTCAATAGAATACCTGACTATAGCTGACACTGTGTCTGCCTGTTCCATTGTCTTCTTCGGCTAAGATCTCTCTTACTTTCAGATTTTCTCCTCAGCAAACACCGACTCCAGCTCCCAGTCATTCGAGGGCAATTTATTAATGTTTAATAAGCCTCAAGTCAAGCGTCGAGTTGAGCTCTTTATCGTGTGGGTGGCTCGGATGAGGGCACATTCTTCGCATCCCATGTCTGTGTGTGGCGACTATCTCTCCATCCATCCATCCATCCATGCCATGCCACCTCTGAAGAATACGGCAGCCATCTAGTGTTTGTCATGTTCTCCAGACCAGGTTCTTCGTCTCTTTGATCTAACCGTTTTGTCTATGTTGAAGAAGTAATTTGCAGCTTTTACACTAAGAGAATGAAAAGAGAGAAAAGGGAGATACAATTTTGTATTCGAAAAATGTTTAAAGAAGTTTATTCTTTATTTCTTCAAGTGCAACAATTATCTATCTCAACTTCATCATCGACAGAGCAGCAGCAACAGCAGCAGCAGCAACAGTTGATGCTGCAAGTTGAGCTCATAAATTTTGACAGCAAACGGAACGCGTGTTAATAATAATTTCAATTGCTGCTTCAGCATTTGATGTTCTCCGCCAGGCTGATCCCCGTCCAGGATGTGGTCCATACCGAAAGATCGTTAATCTCGACGAGAGAGAGAGTGGAGCGTTTGTTTCTCTAGCACATTTGATGTGGCAATTACCATGTGGCAGGAAGCAGTCGTGGCACGGCCAAAGACCAAAACAAATGTATCTGCATACGAGTCCGCTCGTCGCACCATTTGTATTTGTATCTGTATCTGCATCTGCATCTGAGGAGGCTTATCTGCATCTGCTGGAACCCCTCTGCAGTCTCTGTGGCAACAGTGGGCGTGCATCATTGGCAATTTTACCATATTATCAACGCATCTGTGAGCCGACAAAGTGTTTTCAACGCTTTCGGTAGTTGTGGCACGCTGGTTCTCCGGTTGGAGCTTCGGGTTGGAACCTCTTTTTTTCTGGTTACCGATGATGATGATGATGCTGCTATGGTGTGCAGCTGGAAGGCGTTGCCAGAGCTGCGAGCCAGCTTCGATCTCGATTCGATTAATTTTCGCATTAAGCTCGGGCACAGCTCCGCCCTAGACATGGCCAAAAGGATTTGTTTTGCCTACAATTTTTCGCAGTTGTGGGCGCGGTAATGAAATCAAATTAGGGACGAGATCAGGGACTCGTTGCTGCTGCTGCTGTCGCTCCCGCTGCTGTGACTGCTGGCATAATTGATTTGCTTTGCTCTGGTCTCCACTCTGGAATCTCTCAAGGATAAGTGCCCGTTCGGGTTGGTGTCCTTGGTATGCCGATCTGGTCACAGTCACACCTGCCCTCCAGTGACACGCTTCGCTCGCACTCCTCCTCAAGGATGCTCAGGCATTGGCAAATGGCATTGGCACTGACACTGACACTGACACTGTTACGGGCATGCCATAAAATACAATTGTTTGCAATTATTATTTTTCTGCTTTTTGTTCCACCTTCTGGGCCACAAAGGATTAAGGTTGCAAAAACAAAACCATTTGCTACGCAATTTATATGCAACAATAGGACGGGAAAAAAGCGTAAGGCACACATGTTGGTTCGATTTTGGGCAGCAATAAAATTGATATATCCCGTGGCACAATATGGCTGCCATGTGCATTTAGATGGCCATGTCCTGACACGGCTTCAGCGGCTTAGTTTTCCTTCCTTTTTTTCCTGCACGCTTATTGGCCATTTAGTGCACGTCGGAGTGGGGAGTGGGGGCAAAAGAACCGCAAGGAAAATAGTGAAATTTTCCCAAATAAAAACTAATGGATAGCGACAGCAGCAGCAACATCGGGCATGGAATCCACTCTGCGGCTTCCGTTTCTGCCATAATCCCGTCAAAGCGTAAACAAAAATGTATTGTATCTCTCCTGCCATACCATTTCAATGGGAATGGATTCTGGAGAGTTGATTGGGTTGCGCTTGCTAACGCTAACCCCTTCCATCAATGTTTTCCTATATTCGGTGAGGTTTCCTCATTTCTTGGTTTTAGGTTAGTTATAGACTTCTATGATGTTGTTCATAAATAAGTTTTGGATGGCTTTGTTTTGATTTGTTTGCTGTTCGCAATATGCAGAAATTATGCAAATGTCTCAAGCTGAAGCTCGTTAGTCAAAATGTTTCTGTTTGTTCAGATAAGAAAAGGAAGTAAGGAAAATATGTTTAGTTTTTAAATTTGGATTTTCTGCATCTAACTCTAACTCTTTTCAGAGCAGTTCTACATTAAAATAGTTACATTTTTCCGGATTTTTTTCATTCGTTTATATATCTTTCTAGAAGCATTTTCCGCCTTCAAAAAACATGGTCTTGAAACGCCTAAGAATGCAACAGAAGAAGAGGACACTTCATGTCGAATGAACAACTGCATATCAGCTTTTTATGCTGCCACCTTCAACATATTACTTCCCTGCCTGAACTTTGCTCCTATCTCTTTCCCCTAAAAATTTAAAAAATACAATCTGCTGTTTTAATCAACTTGAAAGGAACATTTCTATTCCCTCAACCACTTCATTAGCAAGAGAAAAAGAGGACTTCCCCCAAATAAACTATTTAAAGAACAACACTATTAGGAGAACACGCCCTTTTAATGTCATTAAATCAAATTCAAATTGCCCAAAAGTTAGACGAACCAACCCACACTGAAAATAAACAAAGCGATTGCAATTTTTCACTCCAGAGCAGGACCAGGAATTCGAATGGGAATGGGCACATGAGACAGGGATAGGACTAGGGAGTGGAAAAAAAAACAGGAAAGTTGAAAAAATATGGTGGCATATGCAAATGAGATTTCAGGGCAGAAAACAAATCATTGAAAAATTGTCACCGAACCGCGACAAAGCAAACAAAAGCGGGAGACAGGGAAACGGCCCACCCTGTCTGGGCGCTGGGTTCCAGCACATAGCGCACCTCCTTCCACTTTTTTTCCCACTCCACCTCGCTGTCTCTGTTTCTGGGCGATCTGGCCACCATCAACATCGCCATTAGTGGCTCAATTGTGCGCCACATCGGCTGGCAACCACGAATCGCATGCAAATGAAACCGCAGTCGGGCCGTAGAAAAAAAAGGACAACTCCGAGCACGGCGCCGCGTATCCTCTGGAGCAAGGGCTGGGGTCGGGGCATAGGGCGCAGCTGACGAATTGTGAAAAAAGTCAGGAGGAGGGAAACAAGATGGTGGCGGGATGTCTGGTGTGGTGCCACCGGAGGAGGCAGAACTCCGGGACTCTCTAGGACTATAATTTTCTGCTGCGTTCACACGCCATCGTCGCATTTTTTTCCATCCTCTTTTTTTCCTTTTGAGCAAACATTTAAATTTAAAAAATTTACATACCCTATCTAGGGAGGGGACGGGAGTTCAGCAGAGTAAGGGTAAAGTGTGGAGGGAGTGAGGGTGTTGTGGGGGAGAAAGAGTGACAGGAACCCTGATATTCAATTATGATTTTCCAATTGGACGCCGCGCACGAGACACTTGCTCAGATAACTCTCGAGCTCTCCTGTCTGTCTGTTCTCATGGGTAATGGTATGGGTATGGGTTCCACTTGGGAAAGTACGGGTACAAAAAAAATTAAATAAACAAAAATACATTTTGCATGAAAATGTTACTTTGCTAGTGCATAAAATTAATAGTATGAATCAATCAATGATCTTGCTTTTGCCTGTTAATATATATTGGAGGTATCGAATGTAATTTTCAATTATGTAAATATTACTTCAAAAATATTTGTGCAAGGGTTTTAATTCTTTCCCCCGTTCTTTTGTTCTTCAAACGTTTCTTTATGTGTTTCTTTATTAAAATTATTTAAAAGACAATATTTTCAAAGTTCCTTAGAAGTAACTTAAATAGCTGTGCATTCTATCAAAAAATGTGGATTTTGTTCGAAGCGGAATGGTGTTGAAGTAGTGTAATATTCACAGATTCACAGAAATGTCATTCAATACAACACTCATCGCATGCACTAAAAAACTACACTCAATGAATTACACTCATTTCAGTGTGGTGAGTAGCCAGCGAAACGAAATGGAAACGGAACAAAGGCTATGAAACAATGAAGAAGTGCATAAATATACGATGAAATGCACAAAACACACCCTCTCTCTTGAGTTCACTCAAATACTTGCTCAGAAACTGACTCACCCATGCTTTACGCTCTTCGCACACAATCAGGAACTCGTTCAAGCATTTCTCACACACACTCTCGCAAGCATTCTGCTCACTTACACTCATTCTTACCCTCATTCACTCACACGCTCATACCCATGGCAACAACTACAACAACGACCCAACTGTCAACAGCCGCCCAAAAACAAAATGACGAATTTATGAATATGTTTGCGCTCTGCTCTCGCCAAACAGAGACGGACGCCGCGCGGCTCAAGGGCTCTCTCGAGTGCATGACACACTAGTTGTCTCCCTCTCGCACGCCCGTGCCAGCTTGGAGCCGCCTCTCATTTGAGTGCATGGGAATGTTGGTGTTCGTTGGAGTGTTTGGAAATGGAAATGGAAATGGAAATGAGTTATGCGCACCAGCCAGCTGCCTCGCTCGCACCTCTCATAATTGAAACTTTTTGCGGTTAGCCGCGCTCCGTGTCGTCTCTTACGTAGCGAGGGCTTAGCGTGACGTAAGGGCAAAAGTTTTATTTTGGCGCTGGGCCGCGTGTCAGTGCTGTCAGGAATCTGACGCTGGCTGCGACGAGGCAGCGGAGCATCAACCAAGTGCCTTACCCCCACCCCATCCGCCGTTCGACCGTTAAGTCGTGGAGCGCTCCACGTGACGTAAGACTATTTATATCGTTACGTATTGGGGTGTTGAAAACCTTTGCCGTAAGATCGGTTCTTCACTCTTTTGGGGGTCAGAATCGACTGCGACTTCGTCTCCGACTTCGGTGCTCTGCCACTGCCACTGCCACTGCCGCTGCCTTTGTGCTTTTGGCTTTGCTTTTGCGAATGCGTTTACATGGCGGCCAAAAGCGAATCGGGCCGGCGCTCATTCATTCGATTCATGGCGATTCATTCAATGGTCAGCTGCGTGACTGTGTGGCAGCGACGGCTCGGCGGCTCCAACACACAATCTCTCTCTATCTCCCTTCCGGCACGGTACTAGGCTCTCGACCCGGACCCAGACACCGGACACCGACACGGACCCAAAACCCGGACGGGGACCTCGCTACGGTCGTAAAGTGTGCGAATCCCGGCTAAACGAAATGTGTGTTTTATTCGAGAACTGGCTGTGAATAGCGATAGCGAATATTGAAAGGATATTTTTAAATACAATTTTAATAATAACTGGAAATGTTCGAATTCGAATACGGTAAACATGCAAACAAATATTTAGATCACACTTGAAACCGTTTCATAAATGAATAAACTTGATCAAATATCATAAAAACAATAAATGTTACAAAACAATCGTTAAAAATTTGACAAATAATACAAAATAAACAAAACATTTTAACCAAAATAACTGAATTTCTTGAAATAAATTTGCTTAACATTTTAAAAGCTAAAATAACATTCTTATTAATGATTGATAATTTAATTATAAACAAATAAATCAACGTAGTTATTGGACAATTTAAAAATATCTGAAAATGGATAAATACGAAGCACACCACACAGACAATGATTATCACATTTACATCAATATATTCCAAGCAAACCTAAAATAATATATAAACTATATTATTCTCTATCAAATATAGAAAAATCTCCATTATAACGCTAGCAAATGCCCCAAAATAAAAACCAAAACTGTGTATGCTATTGAGATCCCTAAAACACCGGAAAATCAAAACACTGCAAGAGGAAAACTCAGCTTGAAAATGCTTCTGAGCAATCAGCCGGCAAATACACAGCCCCCACAGACGCCGCCTCCGACGTCGTTGTCTTCGTCGTCATCCCAGAACTTCAAGTCCAAGCTTCAGCAACAAATTGCCACAGCGGCTGTGGCAGCAGCCGCAGCGGCAGCCACCACAAACCTCGCTAACGGCAGCGCCACTCATCATCATCACCATCATAATCATCATCCGCTGAACCACCATCATCATCCGCATCATCAGCATCAGCACAACATTTCCTTTGCCACGGATTTCTCAATTGCCGCGATTATGGCGCGCGGCGGAAACGCCCCAAGCAGCCGCGAGCCATCCGAAAGGAGTCTGAGTGAGTAAAGTAATTCCGACCTTCCACCATCTATCTACACACTATATCTGAATCTATACATCCCCATCCCCCATACACACTCTTAAATAGATATCAATTTGCATTTCTATGAGCATTTCCTTTTCGTCGCTTGAATTGTTGGTGATTTTTGTGAAATAGTCGTTCATTTTTTCTTTTGGTTCTTTCTCAGAAGAAATTCTATTCATATGTATTTATCTTTGGTTTGAATTGGTGGTTTGCATAATGAACACGTTCCAGTCACTATTGTTGATTGAGTATGAACAATATTTCTGCATATCCAACATGTTGATGTTTAGCTCAAGTTATGGGTTAATACGCTAAGCGAATCGAACTTTCATTTACATATTTATGATTTCGGCACAAGCTAGAGAAATTTTAGATTGCTATCTGGAAAAAGTGATCAAGCTAAAACTTATAAATACAATTGTATAACAAAATAAAGCCAGTCTGCAAAGGAAAATTCAAAACAAATTACAGGAGACTTGGGTTCTGCATATGGTAATTCGCAGTATACAATCCAAGAACTCTTTGGAAACATTTTATGTTCATATGCTCCTTAAGCATTTTAATTATAAAATGTTGACTGTTCTCGAAGCATGGACTTCTGGAGTATTCAATCATTTTTGCGGACATGAAGAATCTGGAAATCATCAATTACTGACCCAAATGCAGTTAACAATTTTTCTTTTAAAATAAACCACTTCTAAAAATATTAAGAGACCTTCAATAGAACCTTATTTAAATATGTACATACATATGTACTGTATTTATGTATGTACATATATAGCAAAAGCAGTGCCATGTGTCAGCACATCCGCACATATAAAGACTCCGCCTCAATAAAACCTTTCAGCAAAAAGATACAATTAATCGATTGCTTAGTATTTACCCATACCCGTTCCCCAATTCCCCTTAACCAATTTTCCTACCCTGTCGAGGAGGGAAAAAGTGTCGCAATTGCATTATATTTCTCCTCTATTTTCTGCGCATATTTTTTCTCGTATTTTTTTGTATGCTTTATAAATTATATATTGATGACAATGCAACGTTGATGACTTGATAATTGCGGCAAATGCGCGGCAATAAAATAATCAAAGCCTATTTGTATGCAGGGGGGAAGAGTGTGCCATATGGTGTGGTGGCATGACAAGAGAGCCAGACATACTCGCATACGTATATGTACAAATGTACATCCATATAAATATACAAATGTGTATGTTTATCTCCCTCTGTCGCGCATGCAAAACTATTTAGATGCCATAATTGGGTAGAGACAGAAGCTCCAACAGATGCATTCATTAGTGGTGGCCCCCAGACTCAACCTCTGCGCGCACACGCACACAGACATTGGCCAAATTAACATATGAAATTGCATTTTGAGCAAATAATTGAATTTTTTGGCGTTATCTGTAAAATACATCTGGGCGCGAACGATTCTCGAATGCGTCGAGTGTGTCGACTGTCCCTCGTCATCGACATGCAACACGTTGCCATAGCGCTCGCTGTACTCTGCCTGTTCCTCCCGCATTAACAAGCCCATTTGATGTCTCTGTTGAATCTAGGTCCATTGTCTGTGGAGCAGTATTCGGGCCAGGATGTGGACGATGATGTTGACGTTGATGTGGTTGACTTCAGTGACTCTGAATCGCCGACGGCGCTGGCTGCCACAAATGCAACGGCAGCAGCAGCCGCAGCGGCGGCGGCAGCAGCAGTTCAGGCCCAGCAACAAGCGCGTCAGGCATTGCGTGTTGCACAGCAACAACAGCAACAGCAACAGCAACAAAGGCAACAGACACATCACCATGCAACAGCAAACAAGCAACAACGCCAACATCACAATCATCATCACAACAGCAACAGCAACAGCAACAGCCACAACAACAGCAATCACAGCAAATCAAGCAGCCATCGAGGGCGTGCTTCAACCGCCACACCAAATGCTGCCGCTGCTGGAGCTGGATCTAGTGGTGGTGGTGGCTCCACTGCCACGGCCACGCCCTCGCCTCCACCGCCAGCCCAGAGTCCCGAAGACGAACGCCTGTCGCCAGAGGAGCCCGCGCAGGTAACCAAAAGCAACAAAGTCAGCAACGCTCCTATACGCAAAGCGCTTTTCTTACCATGTCCTACCTTCCGATACTCCCCTCCGTCTACAGCAGCCCACGCCCAAGATACTCGGCTCGTGCAATTGCGACGATCTCACGCCAATCCAGTGCCACCTAGAGACCAAGGAGCTCTGGGATAAATTCCATGAATTGGGCACCGAAATGATCATTACCAAATCGGGCAGGTGAGTCAAGAAAGCCTTAATTGTAGATTTGTATTTAAAAGGGGATCTCTGAGTGGTTTATGTATGCAATTAATGGTTGGTGTTCAGGCAGTTGCATTAGTGCGGAAAGGTCTTGGGTAGAGGGCTGAAAGAATATGAATGAAAATAAAAATTAGTTTAGTTAAGTTGTGGCTTTCCTGAAAGAGGAAGCGTAAATCTTAAGGGATTGCCTGATATGCCGTACACCTTCTTCATCATACAACACATATTCAATTGAATGTCCATGTTTTCCTCTTGGCACCTCAATCATTTAATATTTTACCCCTACCACAGCTAATGTCTACTTTCCTCACGTCCCCGAACTAACAATCTTTGTAAACTTGCCTCATCAGCAATCGATTAGGTTAAACGTGCACCGAACAATTTTCAATATTCATTTATCGATTTCGATTGCAAAAATTCCCAGATAATCGATCACATTTTGCTTGTCAAAGTCCCCCGGGGACCACTTGCATCCCCACATCCTTTCCTCATTCCCTGCATTTTATTTCATTTAACATTCATCGGAATTCCATTTGCCAAAGGCCTTTTGCCCAGTGGTGATCTTGGGGCGTGCTGTCTGGAGTATGTGATGAGGGGCAGTCCGGGTCATAATCATAATGCCGCCCCCGGCAGTCGGGTACCAATCAAGGCACTCCACTCCACACAGCCCACGAAAAGTCCTCGAAACAGAAACTCGAACAATCAATAAAATTTTAATGCGCCTTTCACCCATGGAACCAAGCCCCATATCGCCACCAGACCCGCCCCGGCGATGACGCCTCCTCGTCTTAACTGGAAAATATCAACAACTTTTTGTTTAGTTTCTCATTTACATGGCACCATGAGTTGACCAACAACATTTGATTGACAAGGCATCGAAATAATATGCCGTCGATTTTCGATTAGCAGAAACAAAATTGGGAAGCCGCCAGCCCAACAGAGAGCCAGAAGCAGCTCGTTTTATCAGCAAGAAGGTTATAAATATTCTTCCAGATTTGTTGTTTGTATGACTGGGAATAGTTTATATAAAAACAAAGAGATTAAGATAAAACATAACCCTTCCCATAGCTCACTTATATTTTTAGCAAACGTCATTCCAAAATAATTGTATACTCTGTAAGGGTATAACGCCACACACAACCACCTGTACCCACACACAGGCTTGGGTTAAACGACTTTTCATTCGCAACTCAACAAAGAAGTTGAAGAAATTATTGCTTGACGATATTTCTCGATTCTCGTGCGAATGTCGTGTAGGATGGATGGTTGTATTGGGAGGGGGGAGAGGGTAGCTGGTGGGGTGAATGCGAAATGCGAAAGAATACGAAACGAAAAAAGGAAACATGAACGAACATGAAACATAACTGTTTGGGTGCCAGAGGTTTTTTGTTTTTCTCTGCTTTTGGGTTTACTTTTTTCTGCCATTCTCTTTCTCTTCAGTGTTTTGATAACATGCGAAATGCGCATTAGTCGCTAGGTGGTAGTTAGGAGCCCTGTGTTCTGTTACTTCGGCGCCCCTTTCAATGTAGTTGGGCATGATGGATTTGAGGGTAAGGTCAGAGGGTGATATTTAGCCCCAAATCCATCAAACTCATTCCCAGCAAAAGGGGAAGGAAACTGCGTGGCTGCTTCTGTAAACACACTACCCGAAACAGTGTGATAACTGAAGGTTTATATGAAAATGATGGTACATAATGGATAGCTACATATTCATATTGATATTGATTGATACTCCCTACATTCAGAAACCACTTCAACTATTTTCAGAATGTTTTTTGAGCTCCTCTCTTCTTTGCTTTTACTGAGTATCACACATTCGACTCTCTGTGCGATTTATGTTTTAGTGCTTTTGGTGCCTTTGCTTTTTTGCCTTTTCGCTTGGCAACTTTTGTTTGTTTGTTTGATGTTAATGTGGTGTTGTGTGTGTGTGTGTGTGTTTTGTTTAACCCTTTGGTGGCCGTCAACAGTCCCCCCATACCCCTGCTGTGCGCATTTACGACACATTAACAAATTTACTCCTTTCGCTCCTGCTCCTCCTGAATCCTGAGTTCTCAGTCGAATGTCCTGGCGTCCACACAAAGTATAAATTGCATTGTAATAGCTGCCGATTGTCGCGCTAACAGCACATTTGCATGTCCCCTGGCTCTTGGGCCCATTTCGATTCGTGTTCTGTTTGACTCTCGGTGTTTTTTTGGGGACTGCTGCCACAGCCACTGCCACTGCTGCCCTGTAATTAGTCAACGGATACCGATGCGATGCCCGGTTCTACCCGACACTTGCCGCCGCTTATTCGTATTTACATTTGTGCGGGTTTGACGAACGGACAGACGGTTGGACGCATGCAACACCATTGCAAGTCTGGCCAAAAGAGAAAGAGAACAATAATTCCCAATGCCGATATACATCTATGTCAGCACGTCGTTTGGTAGCTAAACATGTCCGACCAGGGGAAGTGGGAGTGATACATTTTAAATTACAAAAGTATATGCTTGGGTACAGCTTTTAGATGGTATGATTTGGTGGCATGTTCAGCAGGAATGTGGCTCTGTAGTGAAAAGTATTCGAACAGGAAGGGAGATAAATTATTCCCATATTTATGTGCAGAAAGCCCTTAAATTTCACTAAAACCCTGTCTTTCATCTACGTTTTACTACTGTAAAATATTCAGATACTTATTTGAAACCTTTCAGAGCCATTCCCTTTGCAGTCAGTTATCGTTAAATTGCCATGAAAATGTTGACGCAACATGCAAAAGCGCATGCGCAGCTCCCATCAGAACGGAGCCGAACAAAAACTGCATCAAATTGCGAAGACATTCGGAATCCAACTACGAGGATGATTTACAGCCCAAGAAAAGAGTCAAAGATTGTTTGAATTGTTGTGTACCTGCATGTCATATGGTCAGGTTAGCTCTCAGGACTGCTCTGCTTATGTGTGTCTGTTCATATCTACGGACAAGTATGTGCTGGCTGCTGCGGTCATTGAAATAAAATATCACGTGGTTTGTAATTTTGTCACGCTGTCAGCGGTTTTGAGGTTGGCATTTTCCGCATTCTGTTGCAGGATCTGAGGACAAAGGCGGCGCACAAAAGTCAGCAGACGCGGGCGGGCTAATTGTTTTGACCTCTCGCCCAGCGGGTCGAAGTCCCTCGGCTTGTCAATATTTTGCGACAAACTCTTCACGCCTATCAGGTCCGATCTGTCTATCCCGGGGCTAGGGTCCGAAGGGACAGACAGTAGCACAAGATGCATGGCAATTGCAATTTTCATGGTGCAATGGTTAGGCATGGGCAGGCAGAAATTCCTGTATTCATTTCTGTCTAGTAGTTTCACAAACTTTTGCCACAGCTCCATTAATATTTCAACGAACAGCTGAACTACGGCCAAAACCCAGACCATTTATCAGAGGGAATCGACAGGGACAGACAACAATTGAAACAAGTTAATCCCCCAGACGAAAGGTGCAGCAGGGACGGTCAGAGACGGGTCTAAATTATGAATTAATCAACTAATAAAAGATGGAAAGAGCAGGGAAAAACAGGGGGAGTGTTGTCAGTTCTCGATAAGATCTAAGTTATAGTTGTATATATCCGTTGTTAGTCTGTTTTTTTTTGTGTTGGGCTTCAGGGTTGGTTCGTTTTGTTTCGTTAGTCGCTGGCTAATTTGCATTTTATTAATTTAGACCTTGAGGCTTAATTTGCTGTAACAAAGGTGTTGATAATGAATTGGCGGCTCTCCCACAGTACTGGTACTGGGTCTCTCCATGCTCTATATAAACTAATTGAAAGCAAAGCCACCCCAAGTCGATGACGGCCAGGGCCAGTCCTCCCCTTGTGGTATTTCTGGCCATGGCAAATGGTGTGTAAACTTCATAATTGTAACCTTTGGCACCTAAGCTCGGTCCGGTCCACTCCCGCATTCCACACTAAAACTGAGTAAAAGCCATTTCCCTAATTTTCCCATAAACAAATACATAAAATCCACACCAGCAAAAGAAAGAACTAAAGTTGCGTTGCGTTGGGGTTTCTCCGTAGGTGGGGTGTGGTCAGTGCCTCCGGCTGTGACTTTGGCTGTGGCTAATAAAATGTATGTAAATGCTGGAATATGATTTACGACATTTCCGTCTCGCAGCCAAACGCTGCGGCCAGGGGCAACTTTAGACATGGGATAGCCATAGCCCAAAAATAAGGCGTGGCAGTCTAGCTTCGCACATTTATGGGCACATTAGCAGAGCCATCAAACCGCTGAGGAAAGTGTTAACAATCCGAATAAATTTAGCTGGAACTCGAACTTCCATTCCGAATCACTTCTGCTTCTTCGCTTTTGGCCAAAAACAAAATGGAAGCTTCCGGCTCTGGCGGCTTCCGCTTGGCTGCAGTTCGTAGATATTCAGATAAGAGAAACCATGTTAAATGCCTGCTACAATGGTGCTAATTGTGGCATGCAACTGCAGCACTTGCTACTTGTGTTACAACGTAGCCAACGATTGCCGCGACTGTTGCTCGTTTTGGTTGTTGCTCAAACTAAATAGTGTGGGCCACTGTCATAACTGTTACCTAGTTGACGTTATCCAACTCTGGCTAAAACAATGCAAGTGGTGACACTGGCCACGCCCCCCAGTAATCGTCTGTCAAGCAGGGCGTTGACAAACTGCAATTGCACAAATCACACACAAATATGAGTTGCAATTTCCCGAGTTATTCTGGGCCATTCTTTTGTAACTGGAATGAGTATGTATTTCTTCTTTGTAAATCTTAGGTGTTAATCTCAATGGTCCTCTGATAATGATTAACTAATGATAATGATAATGATTAGCCAGCACACACACAGCTACAAAATGTAACTCGAATACTCATAGATACAAACACCCAATGTTGGCTTTATGTTCTTGGCTCTGACAATGTGTTATCCCCATGTTCTAGGCTCGGAGACAAATGACAAAAAAAAGTGGGCTGGGTCATTAGCGTCATTTACACTTACCTTCCACCGCAAAAACACACAAAAAACGACAAATTGTTGTTATATAATTTCAACTGTTGATGGGTTGGGGGGGTAAGTTGGTTTGTGGAATGGTTAGGGGGGTGGCACACCCTCTGTACACCCCGCTGTGGAGTGGGTCTGCCTGCGACAGCGCTTGCGGAAATGTGTCAAAAACGTGCTAAAAGTCATAAAATTAAATATGCGTCCGCATACCCCCCCCGACTGCTGGCAATACAACCCCCTCTCAGCTATGAAACGCAAAGGCGGGCAATAAAAAAATAGTTCACGGTTTTCCCTCCTTTCTGTATGCTTTTCTTTGAGTTCACTAACATTTTCCGGCCACACACTCACTCACACACACACACACACACACACACTCCACTTGGTCCACTTTCAGGCGCATGTTCCCCACGGTGCGTGTGAGCTTCTCGGGTCCATTGCGGCAGATCCAGCCCCCGGATCGGTATGCCGTCCTGCTGGACATTGTGCCCCTGGACTCGCGGCGTTATCGCTATGCCTACCATCGCAGCTCCTGGCTGGTGGCGGGCAAGGCGGATCCACCGCCACCGGCCCGCATCTACTGCCATCCGGATTGCCCCATCAGCCCGGAGGCGTTGCGCAAACAGGTCGTCTCCTTCGAGAAGGTGAAGTTGACAAATAACGAAATGGATAAGAGCGGACAGGTGAGTCGATGTCTAGGTAATGGGGGTTGGGAGTTGGGTGCTTAAGCCAGCAAAGGACATTCACGGGGTGGATATGCAGGAGAGTTAGAGGCGAAAGGAAATCGATATAGCTGGTTGGGTTGGGTAGGCTGTTCAACGGATGAACTAGTTTCGAGTCAGCAAGTATTAAAATATATGCGGAAAGGATAAGGAATCACAGGCTGGAACTTTCAGACTTTAACAGAAAACACAGTCCCGCAAAGTCTAGATTTCATTTTGGGCCACAGTCTCAGGCATACTTCTTCAACATAGGAAGAAAATCATTTAAACTCCTATCGTTGGTGTAAATCCCAGTGGTCTTGTCTAATCACCAATACAGATGAGAAGGAAGAGAAGAGCTAAAAGCTCTAAAATAAATCTAGATAGAATTCCCTTTCAATAGCAGAAACCTTAAATGTTAGCAGATTTCTGAGTCTAGCTTTCAGTGTTTGATGCCAACTCCTGACTCTTAACCCCAATTCCAGCGAGAGCACCTGCGAGCAAACAGTACGGACAGTTCTGCCATCCCGAATTCATTTATTAATATTTTAGGGGAAGAGGCAAACACACATAAACTGGCGGGCGGCTGACTGGCATTGTCTTCAGTGTATGGTTCTGGTTCGGGGCAGGGGGACGTGTCGGGTCAGATCGGGTCAGTCAGGGTTGCCGCGTGCACATATGCAAATGGCATTGCGCGCGCACAAAAATGAATGAAAATTGTTGGCAATTTGGTGGCAAATACTCCTCCAGCTACTCGCCCACATGTTTTGAGCCCAAGATCCGAGTGGCGACGCTCTGTTTACGAGCCTGCTACCGTTTTTATCACAGCCATAAAGGATGGGGACTGGGATGTGGGATGTGGGATGTGGGATAGCATAGAAGAATGGAGGCTGCAGAGTCAAAACAAACATGGACTACTTTTTATGGGCGTACATTTTTTATAAGCACAGACAACACAGAAAACATTCGCATTCAGGGAACTCGTTTCTTACATTCGCTTCTTACAGGTCGTGCTGAACTCAATGCATCGCTATCAGCCACGGATCCACTTGGTGCGGATGAGCCATGGCCAGAGCATACCCGGCAATCCCAAGGAGCTGCAGGATATGGATCATAAAACCTTCGTTTTCCCGGAGACCGTGTTCACGGCCGTGACGGCCTATCAGAATCAATTGATTACGAAACTCAAAATCGATTCGAATCCGTTTGCAAAAGGATTTCGCGATTCGTCGCGTCTCACTGACTTTGATAGGTGAGTGTCTTCCCTTGAATGCTGGATACAGTAGTTGGCCCCGTTTCTGCCGGTTTTATGGGGTCATGTCTGATTTATGGCCTAATTTACGATGGCCTGTTGAGCCGTAAAACCCTACAGTAGCTCAAGTTGCTGCTGATTAGCGAAAATGTGTGAAAGTGTCGGAGAGCAGAGTGCGGAATGCTCAATGCGAAGTATGGAGCAGCTCTTGACGCATATCCATTAGCAGCTGCTGCGGCTGCAACGTGCTGCACATGCGATCAATCAGCAAATGCCGTCGCTATTGTGATTGAAAAATGATGTGGAACTAGTTGTTGGATTTCCTTGAAAAAATACAGATTAAAGGGCCAATCCTGTGATGAGTGACATGCGTGATTTTTACAATTCAGTAAATTCTTCAGTAAAGACTTAAGACTCAGATTTCTTAAGACTATTTTGGTCTAAATATTAAATCCCATAAATCAGTTGCTTTCCTCTTTAACGTTTGCAACATTTTCACACACGAGCAACAATTCGCCCGCTCAGCAACATGTGGCTGGATGACCTTAGCGCCAAATGGAGCCCATCCTATGGGCTTTTTTTTGGCAAGGCACCTGAGGGCTGCCGCTGCCGCTGCTTCTGCTGCCCTTTTTTCGACAGCAACTTCAAAGTGTTGCAAGGCGGCGACTATTAAGACAGCAAGAGCAACGCAGCAGCAGCAGCAGCGGTGGCAGCAAACGCTCTGCCGCCAACAGCAACATGGCAACAACTTCAAGAAGCAACAACAATAACATGCAACAGCACACGAGCAACATCGCTGTTGTAGCCGGCACGGCGGCGGCTTAAGTGGCGTAAATTACAGATCGGCGGCTTTAACTTTGAAGCCGATTCGTACATGAAATGAAAACACGAAAATAATGAGTGAATGTATGGCTCTTGTGGCTCTTGTTGCAGTTGTTGTTGTTGTTCCTGTAGTTTAGTGTCGGCAATTGGCAGTTACTTTCAACGTAATTATGTTATTGCCCCAACTGAAGCCATGCCCCTGCCACTGCCACTGCCCCCTGCCCAAGACTCTTCTCGAAAGCTTTTCTCATTCTCTCTCCTCTGTTCGTCTTGCAGAGATCCGATGGATGCGTTCTTCTTCGACCAGCACATGCGAGCCGCACCACTGCGCTTCTTTCCGGATCCGCTGATGTCGCAGCTCACCCCACAAGAGGCGGACGCCGCCTCGCTGGCCCTCCTGGAGAAGGCCCGCCAGCACCTGCAGATGTTCGGCCGCTCGCCGTACACCGAGATGCTGCTACCCCATCTGTACCAGCGTCAGGCTCCACCACAAGCCTCGCATCTCAGCGCCTTCCAGCTGGGCATGTGGCAGCAGCAGTGGCCCCAGCTGACGGCGGGATTCCTGGCCAGTGCCAATCAACAGGCGGCCTTTGCGGCAGCCGCAGCAGCAGCAGCGGGCGCCAATCGCACACCGCCCCCACCTGTTGCAACGGCAGCACCGCCTGCTCCAGCCACACCCACATCCTCGTGCGGCTCGGCGTCGCCGGATCTGCGGGCGAGGCCACAGATGAGTCACTATCCGCAGCGCTTCAGTCCGTATCAGGTGCCGCAGCATCAGGCCTCTCCGCCAGCCTCCACAAGAGCGGAGAGTCCTTAAGAGAGTCCCACCCCAAAGGCAGAACCCACAACCCAGAAGAATTCCCTGAAAAATATCTATGAAATGTATGTGCAATGTTGTTGAAAACCTTTGTAAATAACCCAAAAACCTGTTGCTGCAACATCCAAAGAGAATACAAGAGACAGAGAGAAAAAATGAGAGAGAGAGTGTGAACGATGTTGCATGTGATGCTGAAGAGAGAGAGAGAGAGAGAGATCGTGAATGATGAACCGTTGAAAGTGTGACCAGCGCTGAGGGTGAATGTGAGTCAAGGACAGCGGAAACGGTTTCACTCTATTGTAATTTTCTGTAGAATTATAGCAGTATTAGTTAATTTAATTACGCGTAGGCCTAGCATCGATCCCATGCCCCTGTGTGCTCTCTGTGTATTGTAATTTTATTTATCCACTTTCGTTGTTGTCCATGTGTTCCTATAACTGCAATTATTGTGAAAATTCCACGCTGAATTAAACCCTTTAGACACTCCCCCCAATTCCCCCAATCCCCCACATTGAAAATGCAAAATCCAAGTACTATAAACACTTATTTAAATGATGTGCAAAGAGAGAGAAACTGAATAAACAATTTATAACACAAAAGGCTTATAACATTCAGTTATATCTGAGTATTGTTTCGGAATGGGAATGGGCTTTCGCCGATTTTTGTTTTCCAAACATGCGATTGCCATTGCCATTGGCATGACTGTTGCTGGTGCTGGTGCTGGTGCTGGACAATGCGAGACGAGTAAGTGCTTCCATAAATATGGCCAACAATTAATAACGATGATATTGCCAAAGGGGTGGGGCTCTCGACTCTCTTTCTCTCTGCTGTGGGGCACGTGATGCGCAGTCGCGCATGGCAGCCAGCCCCGCCACTGACATTTATGCCCCGGCAATGAAATATAATTTATAGAATTTTGTGCTCTTTATGAAAGTCTAATTAATTACCGCTCCGTGTTTTAGTGCTGCCAAAGGGTTGCATGCCATCAGCAATGGATGCAGCGAGCTGCAGTTGCAGTTGCACGCGACATGCGTCATCAATTTCTAATGATGTATGTCTACTCCACAGACATTTGTTATTAATTCCATCGCATTGCCACTGCAGCTACAACTAGCTACTGCTCTTTATTTTCAATTAACATTTTAAAGTGGCTGTTTAGCAGTAAAGGTTGGACATCTTTAATGGATAATAAAATAGTATCTACTTTCAGATACTTTGTTGCAGTTCCCCTCCTACAATTTTGCATTTGAATAGATCAACTGATTGGGAGGCTCAAGGATAGAACCAACCATTACCAACAGCCAGAAATATATTTTATTTAGCGTATTTTTATTCATTGAATAAAATAATTGCAAGTTGGAAAACATTTTTGTAATTGAAGAGATGTCGTCAAATGTCGTTGAAATTCTAACTTCGAACGAACTCTGCGCACCACGACTAATCACCATTGCCACAAATACTTGTACAACAAATCACACCAGCCGAAAGCCACTCACAGATACAAATATTTAATAACTTAATTTTGTTGCCCATAGGCCACGGCGGCAAGTTAGAAAATTCAAATGGGTCTCAAACAGAGAGGGAGGGTTACACCCAGACAGAGGTTGACTGGGGGGCCGGTCGCGCATTTAAATATGGCTTATATAACCGCAGTGCAGAGTCTTTTTACCTAACCGATAACTAACCAATAATTATACTGTTTGAAGCTTACAATTAAAAAATCATTTTTGACCAACGAGCACAAACCTTACTGCTTCTCTTCGTTTATGCCACTTTCCAAATGTCTTAATTAAGGTACCTGGGTCTTCGGATTGTTAGTAGAGTTTCACTGGACTCGGAAAACAACTGTGAGAAAGTGTCATATTGTTATGAACAAAATATTCCGTTTTACTTGACAGTTGTTGTGTGTCCTTTGGCTTGATTTAATTATAGATTTAACAACTTTAATTACATATAGAAAGTAAGGTTGCAGTTGGGGAAAAACGTAAGTTAATGACAGAAAGTTAAGGGTGAAAGCTAAGGGACTAAAGTCATGAATAACTCATCTCATTTGAAGACAACTTCTCGAACCCAGATACTAAAACAATTTATTTCCTGTTTTTCCTGCGTTACAAATTTCCATATCTCTGACGCTGCAAAGCGTTACAAATTCCTAGTGCTACACCGAACACACAAACCACAAAAGTAACCTCCGCTCGGAACCATTATGGAATGTAGATACCTGAAATTTTCTCACTCACTGCGACAAAGTCGTACACAAATTATCTCGCCACTAAAAATTTGCCTAATTTCCAACATAAATATGAGCCAAGTTATCTACAGCGACCGATCTCGCAGGCGGCAACCTTAATATTTCTACTGACTAATTTTTCTGTGTTTTTTCTCAGTAGATGGTAGGCTGTGGGCACGGGACACGGCAGGAACAGGGAACAGGAGCAGGGCCCAAAACAAAATGTACCCCCTAAAGGATGAGTCTCGGGATCTTGACCAGGCAGGCTGGCAGGCGCTAACAAATTTATGTCTTCTTCAGGCTTAGACAGCGTAAAAGGTGCTACTAAATAAGAGTTGGGCGAGAAAGGTAAAAAAAGGAAAAGAAATACAGGTAAAGGTAAAGGTGAGAGCAGAGGCCGCTCAGCTCATTACACACAATTTGCAGTTAGGTGCGAGCATATAAATTTCTTTGACCAGCTTATCAAAATTATGTTAACTTTTATCTAAATTATATTTTGTGTATTTTGGTGCATAGGAATGGGAATGACATGGGGTTCTTTCGCATAAATTGTATGTTTTTTCGTGGATTTTTCTCATACATCAAGGAGTAATAGCTATTTATTTTCGTAAGGGTTTTCGGAAGATGCATCTTGATTTGGTTTATAAATGCATGAGGGGTTTTGGTGCTATTTATGTGCTGAAATCCCACAAATACTTGCTGCAGTGGATACATTTGTCCATTTCCAATCTCTTCTCTTAATATAGTTTGAAGAAACATTTTGCAAAGCCTAGAAAATCATTCAATTTATACACACACGTTTATATTGTGGCTGCATATGCATTTCGTTGAGTTTAATTGTCGAAAGCACGTTTATGACACAAAAATATCGTGATCCAGTTAACAGTTTTGATGCACTAACCAGACCTAATGTTATACCATATAATTGGTCTTCTCTGTGTACAGCAGAGCTTCAAACGAGGGCGGGGCACATTCACATTCACATTAGCCATGAACATGAGTTAATTATACCATTAAATTTATTCAATTTATCAAAGAGCCAACATGGAAAACACAACAGACGTCAGCTTGTCAAATGAAGATACATTTAGCCGCCGGACAGCAGTTCATTCGTCAACGGATCGACTCGAATCGAATCGGTATCGCTCCGGTCTGTCCGCTCCATGATTTGGCAACTTTTTTCTGTGCCTATTGCCACTCTGCCCCGAAGGTCTACAAGTGTTGTAGCGTGTGTTATGGGCTTCGAGAGATGGTAGATGATAAATGAGAATTATTGACAAGATGTTTTGGAAGAGGGAAATTGGAGATTGACCAGAAAAGAGGTCTAGACTGATGCGGAAAACCAACCGGAATGAGCTTGAGTTTGTGGCAGAGGATAAACCTTTGAGGCAGGAACCTAAAATATACCATGCTAAAGAACAATTATAATCTAATAATTATTAGTTTCTTACTTATCCCACTCTCTAAGCACTCTTTAAAAGCAAACAAAGCTCCAGAAAAGCCCCCAGAAGCGTACAAATAAGTTGAAATTATGAACATGAAAGTGCCAATACTCGTACTAGTGTTTAAACCAGGGCCTGCTTAATTATGGTAATTTGAGTGCACATACTCACATCATATGAAATAAATAGCACTTACGTTCAGAGAGTATTTTTAACAAGGGACCGCTGGAGAAATTAATTTCACGACACAGAAATATGGCAAAGGCCTCTAGGCCCTTCCAGGGCAGAGACCGAGTTCGAAGTCGAGTCGCAGGCCGAGTCCGAGTCCAACAAGCGAAGCCTACATCACACTTCAACACAATCCGGCAATTTCATCGAATGCCAGAAGGGGCTAAGGATGGGCGGGATGGGTATGCGGCGGGATGGCCCCAATTGCATTTCACGTTCCGCCAGTGAAAACCTCTCCATCTCTGCCCCACTCTGGGGCAAGCATGCATGTTGTGCTTGTGTCTGTTTTGTCTGCATATTGAAAATTTGCATGTTTAAGCAAATCCTTGCCAACACTTTCCATGCGGATACCCACATACTACATATAGTATATGCCATATACACATTGTAGCCGTGCAAATTCGTGCATATATGGTATATATATTTATACATACAATAAATCCAGGGGAGCAGGGCAACATGCCGGAAGTGCTTGCAGTTTAAAGCTTATCGCTGCAATTTAAGTTGGTCCGGTAGGGATACGCTTTCCCTGGGTGCGGCCCTGGCATAGTTATACCCCACAAAGAAGTGGCTCCTGAAAGGTGTAAAGGATTCTGAGAAGGCTTGTCCAAGGCTGCAAAGAGAACTAGCCAGAGCTGACTATCAAATAGTTATCTTGAAGACTACAACAGATTTGGAAATGATTCTTTATTAAATAATTTTCATACTTTACATTGAGAGAGCTTCATTTATTCATCATAGGGTATCAATCGCTTTACCCCTTTTCCACTCAAAATAAATATAATTTCCGTGTAAATGGGTTTTTGCAATTTCGTGCACGATGCTTGCCGCCGTCCACGTTCAATGAACTGCTCTCCGCCCCACAAATGGCAAAAGGCGGTGGGCCTGTGGGCCAGCTCTGAAAGGTTCATTAGCAGCTGTCAACTGGCTAATGAAGTGCCCAAGAAAAGATCCTCAAGATAACCAAAAACTACGAGAATATGCTACTATATATATGGGCTAGAAAATGAACTGTCTGCTGATTGATCTGCTGAAGTCTCCATCAATATCAACAGCAGCATCATCAACTGGAAAACGTATCCCTTAGTGACTATTAATAAATGACAAGTCTGCATTAACAAATGCAATAATGCAATGAAAAATGTACTTTTCATTTGGGGGCCAGACTGGCAAAAGTATCTGTCGGATACAAGCAGAGGCTGTACGTGTATGGGATGCTCTGTGGCTCAGTTTTGGTGTTGACATTTGAGAAATTTGTAGCTCATCTTTTGCTGGCATATCTGGATGGCAGCCACAGGGCTGTTTCTCCGGCCATCCAAGGCCCCGGACAAAAACTGCAGACGGCAACAGCAGCTTTGCCACTAATTACAAACACACACTCACACACAGGGACATAGAGGCATAGACTGTGGAAGTGGAGGCAGAGTGAGGCAGAGACAACTTGAGTGGCACATTTGCACATGCGACCGCACAGAATGAAATGTATATTGTGGCTGCCAGGCATCTGCTGCCGCTGCTGCCGCTGCTGCTGCTGCTCCATGTGTGGGTTCTGTGGGGGCGTCTTCCTCGTCGTCAGCTGCAACCAACTTAATTGCCTTGCTTATTTCGTTATTGGCTGTAATAAGATGTCAACGCTGTGCAGATAATTCACCACAATTCAAGACAAGCACATATGAAATAAAAGAATCTACCAAGCATTTATGAATTTCATTATCGTTCATATTTTCTTCATCCTGTCTCGTATGGAATCTTCTGTTTATCGTAATCCAGCTCAAATATTTTGAAGAGAATGAGGAAAGTAAGCTACTTTTTTGTCGTACAATTTCACCCATATATCCGTTCATTTATTTGCCACAGGCACGCTTCAATGAGGCACGAAGTGATTTTAATGGGTAAAAAACTTGATTCTAGTCCATAAATCTCGCATATATTTTGTGTTGTTTTCATGTTTTTCGTCGCCCTAACACAATTTTTTATGGTCTGTGAATTATGTGCTACCAGGCGGGGAAAATAATAATCAAAATAATCAGCGATGCCAGAACCAAATAAAACTTAATATTAATCAGGTGCGAAATATACGACAGCAGATCAAAGCAAAACTTTTAAATATAGAACCCCGCTCGAGTGCCCGTTGCGTGAGCTGTGGCAGCGTCGACGAATGCAAAATGAAAGCAAAGGAGTAAAGAGAATAGCGATTGTCAGAGCAAAGAGAACAGTTGTAGCCAGGTGCTGAGAAAAGAGACCTAGAGTATATGCCGCAAGGAGAGCTAAGAGAACAGTTGGACGCAGTGGACGAAGAGCGAATTGTGAGTGCAAAGTTTTGAGTGATCGAAAAGTGGTGCGGCCATTTTGGCGGGGGGCCCAAAAGCTGCTCAAGCTCTCGCCAGTGAGAGAGAGAGAGAGAGGGAGGGAGCGACAGTGAGCGAGTGCGCAAGACTTCCAGTGTCGCGTGGTATTCCAGTTGGGGAAACTGAGTGCAAAATTGAGAGAGAGCGAGAGTCTCCCTCTCTCTCTCTTGATGTTTGTCTCTGAGTGCGTGGCGTGTCTGTGTGTGTGTGTGTGTGTGTGTGTGTGTGTGTGTGTGTGGCGGCTGAGTGCTAAGCAGGCAGATGATTGAGGGCGTTGCTTGGCAAAAATGGCAGCAAAATGTTGAAAGCTTTAACTACAGCGCACGCACTCACGCGGGAAAGAGACGGGCGAGACACAAGAAGAAAGAGAGGGACCGAGTGTGTGTGTGTGTGTGTGTTTGCGGTGGGGTGGGGTGGCAAAACAAGATGGTAGTGCAGCAGGCAGACAAGTTGCAACTTGTCCGTAGCTTGTTAACAATTGCAGCACAGCACTCAAATAAATGAGCCACAGGAGCAGTAGCGGCAGCAGCAGCGGCGGCAGGCGAAAGAAGAAGGCAGCCATCCCAAGGATTGACTCTCTGCCGTTGTGTGTGTGTGTGTGTGTCTGTATCTGCGAGTGTGCTCGGAGAAATTAGTTTTGGCCGTAGCCAGAAGTATAAGAAGCAGAAGGAGAAGGAACTCTACCAGATGTTGTTGTTGCCAGGCTGCAGGCAATATACTTAATTAAAAGTCGCACGAGGCAAAAGCCAAGCAGAAAACAGATTAAAAAGCAAGTGAGAAAAGGCAACTCCGAACCATGAATACCCTTACAGATACAAATACAAATCACAATATCTAATGCCATCTGCAAGAGTATATCAAAGGCTGTCCCTCAAGCACCTTCCTGTATCTCCACCGCTCTCCCCTTTCACTTGCAATTGTTTGTCACTCAACAAGGTTGTTCCTCTTTTATTTTTCCTCCCATTGCTTGTACGTTTTCAGTTCTTTTTTGGCTTGCCAGGGACATTTTACTTAGATCTTCAAAGAGCATTCCATTTGTTGTTGTCGCCGCCAATTCTGATTATTCACATCGATTGGAATTTGTGAAATTCTCACGAATTGACACTTTTAGCCACTTGGGTGGCTCGTGTTCTAAATTTACGCACATTGCTGCTGCTGATTGTGACGCTGTTGCAGCATCTTAGGTGAATGTTGCAAGTGCCATCCACACATTGCCTGATGCAATGACAAACCAATTGATTCGATCGATATGCCAACAATTTGTTCATTCTTTCATTTCTGTGTGGTCTGCTCTGTGGGTTGATTGGAAAAGGAAAACGTTGCAGAAATGCACTGACAGGGCGGGAGAAATTTGTCTCTTGATTCAGATCGGAGATAAACTCGGATGAACAACTAAACTTACCCCCTAAAGCGATTTAATTTGTCTCCAAGTAAGAAATTCTTCAAATAAAAATAAAACTCAAGTTAGGATACCCGCAAATTGTCTATCAATCGCCCGCGATGACTTTTCAACTTTTGTCAGAAGGCTCGTGTTAAACGAAGCACCTGTTCTGGCTTCCCTGCACTCCCCACGACTATTCCCCTGAAGGACGTCATGCGGTTTGTTCCAGCTAAAGCGGTTACAGATCGATCCTCAGTTCGGGCACTACAATGTTATGGGCGCGTGTTCGTTTGGGCTGGACAACGGTAGGCATTAAATTATTATAGTTTACATTTACGTTTAATTAATTACAAATATTTGTTCAGAATGCGCGATACTGCCTCCACTGCACCGCTCTCCGCAACGGAGAAAGACAAATTGATAAATGAATGCAGTGGGAAATTTATGTGCATTTTCAGTGTTAAATGGATGGTGTAGTCGTGGAGAATTCACCTGTTCCACAGATGGAAAAACACATGTCCGCCGTTCTGGATGATGATGATGATGATGATGATGATCATGAACTCTCCTCGATGGCTATAAATAGTTTCAGACTCACACACGAAACGCTCCTGATTAATGTCACCCAGTTAGTGCGAAATTAGATGAGAAATTGTCAAATGAAACATTTATAGCGGCTAACCCAATAAATTAATATTTATGTGAAAAGTGACAGCCAACACATACACACATGGGCCACTATCGGATTTCAAACAGATCCATTAAATTATTATGAAAATGTTCTCGTTTCTTTCCAATTTTTTGTGTTTTTCTTATTGTTTTTTGCGTCACTTTTGCGCACGAGGTCAGCGGTGGGTGTACGAACTGGAGGCCCACACAAGTGGCAGCTCAGAAAAAAAAAGAGTATCGTAGAGGGAAAACCATTCTGGCATCGCATATGCAGCCTGGAAAATAATGGCAGTCGAAGACGGGATACCCTTAAGATATTTATGCATGTTCTGCAATGGGCAATTGATATGCGTTCCACCTACTTTATATAGCTGCAATATCCTTCGCCGAGTGTATAAATAACAGGCAGACCGCAAACACTAATGAGCGCGTCGAAATTTATGACATTCCAACAGAAGAGGCAGCAGCACCAGCAGCAACACCATGAACCTCCATCGACAACGAGTGGGCATTGGCATGTGTTTGTTGCTGCTGTTGCATGCAACGCATAATTCTCACACTTCGACAGGCAACCAACATAAAAATAAGAGAATTCAAATTGAATGCCGCCGAAGTTGGGCTGTTGCTGTCCCCCCAATCGGTCGGCGTCATCGTCGACGCCCCCTCTCATTGCCAACACATTGGAAATGTCAAATTTAGTTGACAATTAATAAATTATGCGAACGGGGCGCTTAAGTGGCGCCAGAGCGGGGACCAGGACGTCACATAGTCATATAGTCATTAATTTTAAATAATTATGAGACGCCGGGAGAAATCACAACAGTCCCTATGGGTGGGCCATGTGTGGGGGAGCAGTCTCTTAATTAACTGAGTGCCAGCAAGATCCTTGCCACAAATTGTTCACACTTCAGCGTTTTCTCTGCTGTCTTATTTCTTTAATGCCTAGAGTGAGTTCCTGTCTGTGTACCTTTCTGCCCCTCGCCACGTGTGCCACTTTTCCCGAAAAACAAAAAAAAAAAAACAGAAGAAATGTACTCCCTGGCAGCCCCACGAGTTTTTTTGGGGCATCTAATTGACATGTTAGTGACACATGTTGCCGCAACATTCTCAGCCGCGATGTGCTCCTGGGCGAGGACCTCACACGAGTTGCCAGCAACCGAAAGTGTCAGCGTAATACGAGTCGATGATATATGTTTAGGGAGCCTCGGTTCGTTAGTTGGGAATTATTTATACGGAAATCTTGTGACATTGACAGAGAGCCACGAAACACGGCGGAGAGCTTTAGGTTTTGAATAACAAAGGGCAGGGCACGCCACTCGGTCACAGATGATGATGATATTGAACTTGGAACTTAAGTTGGGGCAAAAGGAACTTTAAATTAAATGCATAAAGTCTTGATGTTAATAAATAGATGTAGAGCCATTTTTATGTACTAACAAAATCAAATCCTATTCAATAAAGCCTCAACTTTAACTTCCTGTATCGAATATCATTTCACTTACACATCCTAATCCACACCCATCCCTCCATCCCTGACACAAAACACTCTTTCAGAACGCCGCTCGCTCATCTGTGCTAATCCCAACAATCCCCGCTTTTCATAGGCCATTAAAATTAACAATTATGTTGTTCGGCCCGGATATATTCGCTGAGTCTCGGATGTAAGCCTCTCTATGCGCAATGCCAAATCCGTTTCTAATTTTTAAATTCGGCAACAAAGGGGATTGTGGAGTCGGTCACCGGGCGATAATCGCCAATGGGCCTTCCGCCAGTCGGCTAACTAAGGCTCTGACACCCGCCCACTCACTTATAGACACAACACACACAGATGACGGGCGCACACACACGTGTCACGGCTGGCTGTCTGTCCGTCTGTCTCTGGGTCCCACTGACAGCTACAAATTGTGCTACAAGGCTGGGCTAGAGGTTACCTTGGGTTTGGTTTCTGTTTGGATTTCGGATAGGGCTTTGGACACTTTCAGCTACTTGGCCCAAAAAAAAGTAAACGTCAACGCTGACTACGACTACGACGCCGACGCCATGTTCGTGTAACTTTCAGCATAATGACCCAGACACGTGGCTGTCTAATGTGGCCAGGAGAGTGAGAATGTTAGTGAGAGATCAGCGCAGGGGCCGAGTGGCAGTTTCGGGGTGGGGCCGGCACTCTCCGCCATTGTTTTTCAACATTTATATGGTAAAATGTTAAATGAGCAGGGCGGAACACGCTTTGAATGGTAGGTTGGTGTCATTTTATGGTGCGACTCTCTGACGCAAGCCTCGTTTTTAATACATTTTATTGCAATTTGGGATTTGAGCTTGGTTCAGCTTTCGTTGCAATTAAATGCGTGCCAAATTGTTGGACTAATTGAAATTGCCCTCTGATATCCAATTAAACTGAGTGCAGCTTCTGATTTCCACTTGGTGCTGGCTGGTGTGAAATTTTCTGGCTAGTTGGGAGTCCGTTTAATAGTTAATGAAGAGATGGACTTCGGTTAGGGAGCGTACTCCATAGTTCATGAAGAGTTGAAATTAGTTTATATGCCATTTAAATGTAAGCTGAAATCGATGTTGGTGGTCAGTACAATTTTAGGCATATGTTCTCAAGAGTTTATTTTATTTTAATTGCATTTTCTTAGTCTCTGTAATGCCAAGATTAATGTTAAAAACAATATTATTATTATTTACACGTGTAAGCAGCAGAAAAATGTTCAATGAAATGTTGTTTTTTTTTTTATCACACTTAGAAGGAGAGGTTTGCCCTTTGATTTCTAAATATTTCTAGAGATATTTATTAATTCAATTAAAATATTTTCCAGCACTTCCCAATATCTTTATAGTACTCCAACCTATCATCATTAGCGTTTCAATTCTCCCTAATATTTATATTATTTCCATTTGCGGATTGCCCTTTTTTTTCAATGAAAACAAATTGTTGGCACTGCCTTTCGCTCCTATGACTTCATTAGGCTTCCTCCTACCCCAGATCGGTTGTCATTGATATGGACAATCCATCAATCATACATCGGGCTGGTGGTTCGGGTTCAGGAGGTAGCCTAGATTCTAATCTGAATACTTGGGCCAAAAAGTTAATTTACTTATAATTGCCGAGTCCAAGTCCGAGAGACACTCGCCTGTTGTTCGTTCGCTCAGTTTTGTTGGTAATGACTTGTAATTCCGCTAATGAGACCGGGAGCGGGCACAGGGAACGGGAACGGGAACGGGAACGGGAATGGACTCGACTCGGTCTCCGAGTCTCCCTGGTACTAGCTGAAATTGTTACATGTGTAAGTGTGACGCTAGCGATAAGAAGTAGAAGGAGCGGGCATTTCAATTAGAGTGGAAGATACCCCACAACCTGCCATGGGCCGGAGGATAGGAAGAACTGGTTCTCCTCAGTTGCGATCTCTTCCTGTCGATATTAACGCGCAATAAATTAGCACAAACATTTCGACGGCGAGGTGAGAGAATCCCAACTCATCTCTGGACTTGTCTCTCTCCCTCTCTGATTCTTCTCATCCAAATTGCAAACGCGTCTAGCATGCAGAGGGAGCGTTAGCGTGAGGTCCACTAACATGCCCGATCCCCTGGCAGTCTTCCCAGTTCAATCTCGATGCGATGCGATGCGCTGCGCATAATCTTCCCGACTCTTTCGACGGTTAATTTCAGTTTGAGATAATTATAGAGCGGCTGCCACCAAAGGCCCTGCCCCGTTCCAGACCGACTTTAGCGGCAGTGGCGGCGGCGGCATCGGTGGCAGATTCGGAGCGGTTGCAAGGTGCCCTGCCACTGCCACTGCCACTGCCACTTCCACGGCATGCGCTTGCACGCGCTCGAATTTATTATTAGCCCTCTCCGACAATCAAGCGGTGATGCGGCCGATGAGGCCCAGTCTCTGGCTGAGATGCCGCAGATCAGATCGGGGCGTTGAGTGTAGTAAGTGATAGTGGGCAGCAGTTCCACCAGCATGCGAATGCCAAAGATACAGCAGAAGCTCCAGAATGCCACCACAAAGACGAGTCCAAGAAGGAAGCAGAGTCAGCAGCCAAAGCGCTTGCCCGCTGCATAATTATTCGCTGAGATCGTTCGAGGGTATATTGAGTATATGCAAATGGTTGTAACAACTAGAATATGGCGTGATTATAGAACGTTTAGTTAGGGTTGGGATGAGCTAGCTGAATAATGTGAGGCTATCATTGCATTTTCAGAGATGAGCAATAGAGATGGAGGTAAAAGAGGTGGCACTGTGTCCTGAAGTTCTAAAGAATATCAATAGAAATTGGAGAAAATATGATTAAGATTCAGTAGATATTTCCTTCCCAAACAGCTTCCAATATTTGTCCAGAGTATTCACTTGTCGTTGGTGTGTGCTCCCATTTCTTTTTTATGAGCTCCAATAGTCAGACACACACCCCTCCTATATGTATGTATTATTTTCAGCATCCGCAATGTCCGAGAGCCAAAGCGAAATGCCGACAGAAATCAAAGTCATATGCAACCACGCCCACCAATGGCATGTTGATCTTCATCAAGATCGCCCAGCAACGGTACCGAGGCTGAGAGTCTGAGACTCTGAAACATGGGAACACATGTGGAAAGGGGGTGTGCGAGGGATGCCTTAGCCTCCATCTCCATAGAAGCTAATCAACAATTTTCTCACCTCTTTCTCGTGCGATGAGATACAAAAAATGAGAGAGAAAGATCCCGAAAAAAAAGTATCTTGGCGGTAGGCGTTTGCCACACTGAATGCTCTGTCGGCAGCGGACAAGGGACAGCGCGGACTGCCCCAACCCAACAGCAGATTCCCGGCTCCATTTGCTATCCAAAGCAATTTCCAGCCTTTGTTTTAAGCCGCACATTTTCGATAATAAGACTGGAACCGACCAAGAGGGGAGGCCAAATTGAGGGCTGAACCTGTTGCATGTCGGCGAATCGGGTTAATCGATTTTAAATCGTTTTTATGTTTTCATTTCGATTCATCTGTGGCCAGTTGTCGGAGAGATTAATCTGCAGCAACTATTAGAAGTTCGTTAGACCCCCAGACCAGATCTAAGCCCAACAATCC